TTGGATTGCGGTTTTGGCAGGTTCAAGAAATGAGACCCAGCCCAAAAAATCGTGAATTTTAGATTGGATATGTTGAGTTCTGCAGGCTCTTTTCTCATTGGGTTTACATGAAACATTGGCTGTGCTGTAACCTTGTGCCTGTGTGGGAGTGGTAAATTACCTCAACATCACTTGCAATAATCGAGGCGCACACACGCAGTGACTTCAAATGCATGCACACTGAGGAGTGAGTTCATGGCTGGGCACACCGACTAATAAGCTTAGAGTTAGCCATAAATTATCCGTTTATGGGGCAGGACTAGTTTCTCTTCTAATGGAGAACCATCCGTTCCTCTTGCATTGCTGGCCATCACACACACGCACACGCACACACACTTTGAAGCTCCTTTTGCACCGCATGTAAAAGTTGGCATTTTTCTGCTTTTTTTGTGTGTCATTTGCATTTAAATTGAACATTAACATGGGAAAGACAATGTTAACCTGGAAATTTTCCGCTTTCCGAGGTAATGTAAGAGGCCTTTTTTTCAGTTGGATGTTCTGTATAATGGTCAGCATCCATCCCCCCCATCAATGTTATTATAATTTTTTTTTTTTTTTTTTTGGTATAAACGCAGGACAAATTCAACTCGACACTATTCTGGCTTCTGAGGTAATATCAGACGCTCCTTTGACAAAGCTTGAGAAAATCGGCATTTGTCTTAAAGGGTATTGTAGAACCCTGGAGATTGCACTAAAACCATAATATTGGAGAAAGTAGTCAGTATGATGCAGAACAGTTCTACAAAAAAAAACAAACAAGCACAAAAATGACCACATTGTCACATGAATACCTTTCTTGAGCACCTTCGTGGACGCAAAATCTTTGATGCAGCTCTTCTAGTGGCTCTCATACACGCACCTAATGTAGTGCAATGCCACGAAGGGTAATTGCAGTGACCACGGTGATTACCTTCAACAGCAGAGGTGTCCTTGAGAAAAACCCCGAATATCAATATGGTGCATGACAAATTTTTGTGCCAATCACGTGCTTCTTATTTGGATCAATAATCAGTTTTGGAGTCCTAAAAGGCGTTTTTAAGATTCCAGTCTGTCTACTTTAATAGTTTAATCCCGTTTTTCGTTCATGTTTTAATGTGCGTTGTAAATGCGGAACCAAGAGACCACCGCACAAGGATGAGTTTCTCCGATTTCGCTCTATGGAAGCGTTTGTTTGAGGAAAATGCACATTCTTGTTCCATTCCAACTCCTGAAAACATAACTCCCAAATTCCAACTTCAAATTTTGTGATTGAGAGCACTTATTTGCATGAAAAAAAATGGTCAAAATTCCACAATAGTTCCAAATTTTTTTTAGGTCTCTGAATTTATCACACCTACATTGCGTTCCCAATCTTTGATTTTATCACCTGTTTCTTATGCCATTAAATTACAATCACCCTGCAAAAGTGAAAGTCAGAAAATAGATTCATTTGATGAGCATCAAAGCGGGCGAGTGGGACGGGAATAGAACCGGTCCGGCTATTTTTAACTTTCTCGAAACGATTCTGAGAACCGCGTCGCTGCTGCATATGCTATCTTTGCAACAGCCTGACACACACACACACACACACACACACACACACACACACACACACACACACAAGGAAGTCTCAAAAAAGTCAAATCAAGTGGAAAAAACGATTACATCGTAATCTAATTGTCCCTTCTATTGTCCTCCAACTTAATGATAGAAGTCAAAACAACTCAAGTCAAAACAAATTGTTTTGAAGCAAGCAATTTGCTTGCTTTGTTGTGCTAATAAGCACTTGTTGCCATAAATGTCAATAATACAGTACATATTTTAAACTTGTTCCAACTAAAACTGATTAAGCCCCCAAAAATAGTAATAGGTCACCAACAGCCATGCATTTCTAATGTCTTTGTCTCAGCCTTACGGAGACACGCTCATCATGCAAAAGCATCACCGACAGCTGATGGGTGTCAGCTGCATGAGGAACACTGATCTCTCTTAATTATACATGATGTGTCACAGACACGCCAGGGGACCCAGACCGAGGGAGAAGAAAGATAAGGTCAAGGTAAAGGGAAGAGCGGGATGGAATAAAGACGGGATGAAGAAGAAGGTAGTGAGGTCAACTGCGTCTTGATCTCCACTTATGTCTCCTGTAGTACCTACTCTTTTTCCCTCTGGCATGACAGGACCTACAGTATGTTACATGCTGCAGCACAGCATACACACACGCACACGCACACCCACACACGAGTTCATACAATACATGCGGTATCCTACTGCTGCATTCCAGCCTGCTTGAAGGTAGGAAATATCCCACTTTAAACTTCAGGAGTACATAATACAGACAGTTTACTTTTTAGTAGCCTCTATACAAATAGCTGCATCTCTGGAGTGCTTGCCCACCCATCCATTCATTTTCTAATACGCTTATCCTCAAGAGGGTCGCAGGGGTGTTGGAGCCTATCCCAGCTGTCTTCGGGCAGTAGGCGGGGGACACCCTGAACTGGTTGCCAGCCAATCTCAGGGCACACAAAGACGAACAAGCTTTCGGGCTCACACTCACACTCACACCTGGGGACAATTTAGTGTTCCATTCACCTGCCATGTATGTTTTTGGAATATGGGAGGAAACCGGAGTACCCACAGGGAGAACATGCAAACTCCACACAGGAAAGCCGGAGCCGGAATCGAACCCTGCACCCGTGCACTGTGAGGCCTGTGCACTGTGCGACCACCATGCCGCCCCTTGCTTGGCCACCCATCAGGTGTGAATTTCAACAACCAAGTAATTCTTTTGTTGGCTGCCCTTTTTCTGAAAATACATTGTTGAGTAACAACTAATCTAACACGTTACGTTCACCAATCTGCACCACTCGACAGTCACTCATAAAATATCACAAAAAGTTACTATGTATGCATGTCACACCAATGACTAATTTCCCATTCGGCATGATTTTGTTGCCATTTTTTCTACTTTTTAAGGTGTTGCAGAATGAGCATAAAATACCAGAATAGGAGGTTCTCAGCGACTATCTCCAGGTAGGTTTCACAGGGGGGAAAAATGTGTTTCGGTGAATTCACAAGTAGCATACCGCAAACAGTTGGGCGGTCACTGTATTAATGTATGTCTCCTTTCAAACAAATCCATTAGATGCGACCATTCTCTCATCAAGAAAAAAAATGCTAAGTAGGCATAATTATTTCTAATTCCAGACACTATCCATGAAAGCTGTTCACCAAAAAAGAAGCACCAAACAGTCTCTCTATGTGGAGGCTTGCTGCATGTTGTAAACGAGTTCCCTGAGCAGTATTGAATGATCTTACGTCACGTGGACAACTGCATCTTTAACGACAACTCCAGTTAGACTCTGGCATGCAGCCGCTCTGCAATGTGGTCCATTCAGGAACAGTTCTTAGTGTTATGCAGTGCCGTTAGGACACCACCAAATCCCACCGCATACCCACTGACAGTGTTTGATGCAATAAAGGAGTCAAAGACAGACATTTCAATTACACTTTTGCACCACGCAACATTTCAACATGGTCTTTAATGGACTGACATGTGCAATGCGTGTGCTGACTGACCCATATTATGGAACGAAAGGAAAAAATTAACGCAGTGACGAGAAAGAGTAGTGCTGCTGCTGTTGTGAGTGACTTAGAGCAGGAGGCACAGGAGTTCATGAAATATGCACAGCAGAGCAAAGAACAAGCACACAGCACACTGGCAACACAAAGCCATTAAACAGTACACTCCGGAAAAGAAAAGAAAACTAAAAGCAGTCAGCTGGAACTCAGCAAGTCCATTTTCATTGTGTCAAATGTCTCTAAAGTCACGTGAAAAACTTTTTCTTTGGCTTATTTGCTTGCTGGAGCAAAAGAGGGTGAAAAGACAGAGAAGAAAAATACACACAAGAAGTTATGTAAAGTAAGCTGAGTAAGGAGACATCATGCTTTTTTCTTTCTTTTTTTTTACAATTTCAAACACTTCCCGAGGTATTGTATTGGTACACAAGTAATATATATAGTGCCCACCAGGATTCGCAGTGAGGTACCTCGAGGGATTTTTGAAAAATAAAGAGACAAACGTTTGCTTTGTCTTAAGTAGTCAAACAAGTCGTCGCTGTCCTATGAAATACACATATGTCAATTTTTATCATGTAAAACATTTTTTACATCCCATTAATGTAAAAAAAAAAAAAAAAAGTTCAAATGCTTCATTCGGCGCCAATTATACTGGCAAAGGACAATTGCTCGCTCACACAGATTCAGAAAATTTGTGGGCAATATTTGGGAGAAAAGTCAACTTTTGTGGCTATTGACAGAGTGTTAAAACTTTGATTTTAGATCATGACATATGGGAGCAAAAAACTAAAGTGTTGTGTTTATATTTTTGGTTTGTGTACTTTTGTTATTTGTTATATGTTTACATAATTCCCTGATCCTGTCATACTGAGGCATAATATTTCATACAGCACTGTGAAGCTCTCAAAGAGATTATGCACGTCTATTGAATCCAATGTGAAATATTACTAATAAGTGTGCATTTTATCGAATGTGATCCAAATATAAAGCATCATCATTTATATCACGTGCACATGCAGATGTTGGGACTGCAGGCCATGCACTTTGACTAATGGCAGCCCATATTATTATTATTATTATAACAAAGTATTAATAAGCCTGATTCCTGTCAACACCTTGTCCACCACACCCAATAGAGATTCATTTCTGAGCTTAGAGGCAAACTTCCTAAATAAGTTCTCTCTCCGCTCATGCATTGGCCACAAGCACATGAATAATTATTCTGCCGTAGGATGTTCATGTGATGTAATTTTGCATTTTTGAGGCTGCACGTGCATTGTGCTGCAACAGAGACAAATAACACGTTATGTAAAACTACACCGGTACGCATTGAGCGTGTGTGCAAAAGCTTGCGCTACCGTACCACTCAATCTGCTCTACCCATTGTGATGATGACTCCCTACCTGGATGTTGCAGGAGATCTCCGAGTCGTCCAGCAGGCGGATGGTGCACGGGATCTCCTGGTGGTTCTCCAGAGAGCGGATGCTGGGGCTGCGGAAGCGGAGCATTTTCATCCTCGTGTGAGGCTCTGAAGCGAAGCACCACGCGGCATGTCAGTGCATCTGAAGCTGCTGGGATGGATGAATGGGCGGATGCAGGAAGAGGAGGATGAGCAGGACGGACAGATGGAGCACGTCTGCTGCCCACAGCTGTAGCACAGACAGCATGGAGTCATCCTCTCTCTCTCTCTCTCTCTCTCTCTCTCTCTCGCTCTCTCTCTGTCTCTCTCTCTCGCTTTCTCTCCCGCACTCTCTCTCTCTGTAGATTCAACTTAAAGGGCACTTGCACACAAGATGTCATTAGGGACGTGTAATGTCATATTGACGTGGTCAGAAAAAAAACGGCCAAATGCCCACTTAATCAGAATGTGACAACAATGAAGGAGAGGATCAATCACACGTTAACAGAAAAATAAATTGAACCCCTAAAACAACTTGTATTTTAGGAGACTATCATCCTATTTTATTAGAAAAATGGGGTATTAAATTATTCTTGGACAAAAAAAAGAAAAGTTAGGCAAGTAATGCGATATTTTTATGAGAAAAAATGTTATTCAAGTAATGATCATACCAATACACAAACACGTTATTTTTGTGTTTTCAATAATGCAGACACTGTGCCTTTAATTGTAAACATTGATGACGCAATACGAACGAGACGTTTCATTGGCTATGCATGCTAAGCAAATGGTGCAGGTATCAGGTCAGTAATAGTTTCCATCCAAATGTTTTTATCCGAAATTTGTGAAAATGTGCAAAACGAACATGTGACTCGTGCTCGTTTCCATTTGTTATTATTTTGCGAGAATCGAGGAGACTGCACCATTGAAACGACGTCATATGAGAGCGTTTTTCTCTCTCTCTCTCTCTCTCTCTCCCACAAGACACTCGGCCTTTTATCAGTCTTAATAAGTAGTTTTTAGCGTCCTTAATTGAACACGATTTCAGGATGGCGTTGAGTTGATATTGGTGACAACAGTTATGACGGCGATATACAGTAAACTGTTCCCAACTACGGGTCAAGAGTCCAGTTAAGACAGCCGCCACGCCACCACGTGATGCCGGGAGCAACTTCAAAATAAAAGCGACCCAAGGCTTTCATTTGTTCGTATTCGATGGTGCGCAAGGTTTATTTTGAAGCTCACCGTCTCGCTGCGTGTTACTATCATGTGCGCAACCACGGACGCATTTGCTGTTTATGTTCGCTTCTTTTATTAATTTCAGAAATATTAACATTTCTTAAAACAAGTCCGCCGCCATTTTGTGTGACTACAATATACAGTAGTATGTACGTGTGGCGAAATATCTGGTCAACACAGTAATCTGGTGATTGGTGATAATAAAACTCAAAACTACAGTCGACCACTTGCATATTTCACAGTTCAGAAGCCGCATATTCACCAGTATTTAATATCATATTTTACATTTTCACGTTTTCCCCAGATGTTATTAGCGTTTTTTTTTGTTTTTTTGGGGGGGTTAAAATAAATAAAATAGTTTTCTTTTGTGGGGGCATCAGTCAGCGAGCCATTCAGAGTGTGCAGCCCACTGGTTGCCAGTTGGCTATACTGTTAAACATAGGTTCGACGTAAATTACACTCACTGGACACAACATTCAGTATATCTGCACCATCTACTCGGAATGGTACAAGAAACACATCACAAATTCTGTTTATGGATGGATAGACGCATTGATGCATTGATTGATTGATTTGATTATATTCATATTCTTTTGGAGTGTAAAGCGTGTGCGTTTTTTATCCACTTTCGCTCCAGCAGGATGATCTACATCATCATGGGAGTGTCAGGCTGTGGCAAGTATGTGTATGCAAAAGTAACAACTCACACTCATTAGTTGAAGTATGGATATTTGGTCGGAGTACTGATTCAATTTGTTTACCGAACTTTATTAACTGCTGTGTTGTGTTTGTCATGTAGAAGTTCTCTGGGGGGCTTCCTATCAGAAAAGGTGTTTAAATCCATCACTCCAGTGCTTAATCTCAGGGGATGTTTGACCACGTCATCACCTGAATTTGTCTGTGTGTCTGTGTGTGTGTGTGTGTGTGTGTGTGTGTGTGTGTGTGTGTGTGTGATGTGTGTTTACATATCAGCTGGGGTGGCCTCTGCACGAAGGCGACAGCTTCCACCCAGAGGAGAATGTGGCCAAGATGGCTCGCGGAGAACCACTCACCGACCAGGTCAGTTGGTATCTTGTCAGCACAATGCTCACTGTTTGGAAATTGAACTAAAACGTTTTTTTTTTAAATTCTTTTATAATCAATAGAATTGGGATAAAATATCAATGTTGTGATGCATTTTATTGTTAATTATCATTGTTTATGTTGTATTTATAGTTTGAACCATTAATATTGGCAATCACATCAAATTTAAGAAAAATAAACAATTCTGGCCGTTGAGTGGCTCACATTTTTTCGCCATTCTCGGAAGGGCCCAGTCCTTATCGCTCACAACTAGCAGGGAATTGCTGCTGAAGTTACCAGTACTTAGAAGAGTGTAAACATGGACGTCTCATGCTAACATTTGGCAGCATTTCTAATGTTAGCAACGTTAGCAATGTGCCGTGGCTGCCCCCTGGTAAGCTTCCATCACACCTGTGCTTTCAAGTGCACCCTGTACCCACACTGTGCTGGCTCGAGCTCTAGTTTGCAAATAACCAAAGGAAATGATCAGCCAGTTTATGGCAACGTGTTGGATGAGCGTCAGGCTTTCATGTGTCGCTGTCATACTTGGCTGGAGACAACAAGGCGAACGTGCTTTGAGGTGGACATGGAACAAAATGGGATTCCTCTTCTCTGTTTTCTATTGCCCACATGACAACAATGTGACTCCAAATTAGATTGATTAAATACACCGCAAATTGAGGTCCTACCATTCAGAATTTGAGACCTGAGTTCAGCAAGCATCTGTCCGTTTTGCTTTTACTTTGGCTCTGTGTAACGCTTACTCACGACAATGTGAAATGTTTTTTGTCTGTAATAATATGAAGTTGTTTTTTTTTTTTGGTTTTTTTTTACTCTAGACCTCTGTAAATTCATTGGTTTGTGGGTCTAAAACAAATATATCTCATTTTTAAAATCTAATACTCACTATAGCAGTGGTTCATATTATTTTTGATTTTTATGTTTTTGGATGTAATTTACCAGAGGGAAAAAAAAGGCTTGAGTTTTTAACTTCTAGACACTTTTAATGTTTTTCCTGAAAACATTCAGTAGCAATAAATCATGATGTTTTCACTTTTCTCTTCAGGATAGATATCCCTGGCTTCTAAGACTACACGACGTCATTGAAAGGTGTGACTAAACTGGCGCGCACACACACACAAACACACACACACACACACACACACACACATACACACACAAACACATGAAATGATGAAGGGGGATTTAGTCATTAAAAGCATGAAATTGTCATCGAAAGATCAAAACCATTTTGGCAGTTTTTTGAGTGGGTTTGCGACGAAGCCGAGGAAAATTGAAAGTAGCTGAAAGTGTGCCACCATATCGCCTGCGACATCAAAGACTTTTAGACGGGACGTCTTCCCTCCTTCTTCCATTCTGCTCATCCCTCACTTTCCTCTACCTTTCCTCTTCTGGGTCTGCATTACGAAAGGTTTGCGCATGCAATTTAAATGCAATGGCACATGCATCCATTTGCCCTGCATTCGATATGAGTAAAATCAAACGAAACATGGCTTTTATGCACTTCTGGCTTCCCCAAATTTCTTGCCGCAATAGATTTCTTTTATGTTTCCCAAGAATGTTTTGTTTGCCTCTTCCACTTCCACTTCCAATTCCAACACCTCAAACTTCATTTCGCGCTTGCGTGCTCTCCCAAGTTTTTCCATTGGGAAATCCATCAGTGCTATGTAAAGCGCAAAACCCTCCCCTAAAATACGGCAGTTTCCACCACTTTTACACTTCTTGCAAACTGCGCGAAGCTTGTGCAGTGAATGAACATGCAATTTGAATCTTGGGCCTCATACCTCAGAGCTGAAGCCCTTTAGAATGCCGGTTAAAAGGTTTGAAGAATGCTTTCATTTGAGAGGGTGTTGAAAATCTGCCATTACATATCAAATTGTTCGTACCATCAGTTACACTTAAACACAACCGTGCAAAAGTTAAAAAGGACACCGCCAGATTTGCATCGTACGATATTACAACGGTGAAACCTCTGAAGTCCGATGAAAATGTACAGTTTGGAATCTGATGAAAACGTTGGAAAGAATTGTCTTAGTGACACAGCTTCATGCCTCAGTTCAGTGAGCGTTAAAGGGATTAAACCCACACTTGTGTGCTCTGCTTTGACTTTTTTCTAGCACTTCTTTGAAAGGATGAGTCCAATGTGATTTTTTTTATGTTTTTTTACATTAATTTAAATCTGATCAAATTGTTTACCGTGTATGTCCATCACAGAGAAAGACGTTCCAGCTCTGATGCACTGGTGGCGTGCTCTGCCCTCAAACGCCTCTACAGACTCATCCTCCTCCACGGCTCCAAAGCCCTCCCTACCTCCACCTCCTCCACTCCACTTCCCCACTCTGTTCCCGGTGTCTTTTTTCTCTTTTTGCACGGAGAATACGAGGTCATCCGCAAGAGGATGGTGGACCGCAGGGGACATTTCATGAAGGCAGACCTTCTGGCTTCCCAGTTTGATGTCCTGGAGCTCCCAGTGGAAGGGCAGGAGGAGAACGTTGTACGTCTGGATGTAAGCAGGAACATCCCTGACATGGCTATGGAGGTGGAGAAGCACCTTAGCAGTCTCAAGTCTCCAAGGTGACGATTAAAGAGACAGCAAAACGAATCTCACCACTGTTGATGTGACTTTTACCTAATATTGTGAACAACTTGTTTTTATTCAGACACACACTCACTTCTGACAAACCTCTATTTGGCAACCATGTCATGTTGTTTGACTTGTATTCAAACCTCATTCCAAATAAAGGAGAGGGGCGGGGGTGATCCTGAAGGCCCTGCTCTTATCTCTCCTACCCAGACACTGGAGACACACACACACACACACACACACACACACACACACACACACACACACACACACACACACACCCCCACACAAAAATAAA